ATGATCATTTGTAAATGGAATATCCTCTGGTTTCTCCATGTCCATATCCCTTCAGGAGAGAAGTGTTGGTGGTAGTGGCGGCGGCGGCGGCGGAGGAGGAGGTGGGTTCTTTGTTTGGGTTTGAGGGTTGGCCTGCCACCTGTTTCCTGACAGGACACTGACTGGTGTGGCGATGGCATGTGGAGATGATAGATCACTGAGACGAGCTTATAAAAATTATCATATACAGTCGATGACCCTGCCACTTTGTTGCTAGGTTGACGTCATATCGGCGAAGGATCTTGCAACAACATTCCACAAATGACATCATCGGGTATGGTGATGTGATTGTAAACTTTGAGGTGCAAGGTCTCGTTCCACATACCGTAGTCAGTTGGCCACCAGCGGAAAAGAGGCTTAGTTTAGATTTTCGTTCCCACATTTTCCTGTATACCTTAAACCTTTTCTATTGCATAAAGGAGGTATCTGTACACAATTTTCATTGGGTAGTAAGCTTGCAAGTGTGTGCAGGATATTTCAGGGGGTCAAAATTGCATAATTTGAAGGAAAAATGCATAATTTGACAAAATTGGCTGTAATATTTTTATTAAGTCATTAAACTATCCAAATTATGTCTTTGATTACAGGTAATATGTTCGGTTATCTGAATTTGGCAAACATTTTGTTTCATTTAACTGTTGTTATAATTCTCAGTGGAAACATTGGTAAAAATCATGTTTTTTTAACTTCATTTTCAAATCTTGTGAGTAGGTAAAACACTAATTCCATTGAATTGTGACAATAAAACCACTATAACTGGGTATTAAAATCTGCCTTAACTATTGTACTATCCTATACAAAAAACAAAATGAAAATATATTACATAGGGGTTGAGATATTGTATACAATGTTACCCCACCCCCCAAAATCCAATTTTGACGAAAATTGCTTACTGAGATATGGTGGTAGATGATGTTGCTGTAGTGGATGAGTGGGATAATTGCATCAATGCTTAAAAACACCAAAATAGTAAACTCATAAAGAAAAATGATGTTTTAAGTTTTTCTGGAGCATTTATGGTGGCCATCTTGAATTTCAAGATGGCCGCAATTTTGACCTGTTTTCAAACTCAAGATCTTATATAGTTCTTCAACATGGTCATGTAATATATCATATGAAAGCTTTTTAAATCGCCTTTTCAATGATGTAAATTATTCACTGACTACTGTGGTAAATTGACCCCCAACAATGAAAAAAGGAAATATTGAAATTTAATTTCTCTCGCGACTTTAACCCATAAATTAAAATGGACATATTTTCACTCAAAATTGTAGATATACTGCACTTTAGTTCTTCAACATGGTCATGTAATATATCATATGAAAGCTTTTTTACATTATCTTTTCAATGATGTACCTTATTCACTAGTTTCTGTTGTAATCTTATCCCCCAATAATACAACAAATGGTATATCGAAAGCTTATTTCTCTAGCAACACCAACCAACCTCCAAAGTCGTATTTTAATCAAATGGACATCGTTTCACTCAAAATTGTAGATATACTGCACTATTGTCCGAGCATTTCACTAGTTTATCGTTTGAGTGAAAAAAAACGTAAGAATACTTGTAGTATTATGAAGTATTAAAAATTACATCACAGAGTCAAGGGCTGTGAAATAATGTCACTCAGCAACCTTCTGAAAAGTTTTCTTCCTTGCTTAAAGGTATTGGTTTGAGTTGACTTTTTTTATACCTGCATGGTGTACAGTGCGGAACATGTACTGTGGGACATATTTTCTGATATTTTGAAATGAATACTCTTAGGATTATCCGCCAATCGATTGTCAGTGAACTCTGACAAAAGCTTGTCATCTCGATTCATACCATGATCATGTAATATCTTCCTTAGATCAATCTGCAGCAATACCAAATCTACTATGAACACATGAAGAGGCAGATACACGAATGATGATGCATGTCATGGATGCCTCCTGCAATGTATACGACCACATTGTCATTCACAACCGAGACACTGATGTGTTAGTACCGTTGATACATCATAAACATCGGTTTTCTGCTCAGATATAGATGGGTGCAGGTACTGCAAAGGACCCTCTATTCATACAAGTTGATGATGTACATCAATCTCTCACTCCAGATGTTGTAGCAACTCTACCAGCATTCCATGCGGTCATGGTTGTGACACAACAAGCCAGTTCAGTGGTTATGGCAAGAAGTCGACCTGGAACATATTTATCGCACAACCATATTTGTTGCAACCAACAGAAGAAACTGGTGCCTTCAACATGGTAGAGACAGACTCACTTGTCATCAAAGTGTACAATCCAGCATCGACTGTAACTAGCATTAATACACTTACAGCTGACATGTTCCACAGAGTTGGAGACCTAGAGGAACTCCCACCACGCAACCTCTACTCAGATGTCAACACATTTGCATCACGTGGCGTTCTGCACACAAAGGAAAGGCTGACATTCCACCACCAGAAGGGTATAGGTGGACGTCTACAGACGATGTCATAGAACCAATCCCAATGACACAGGATTGAATGCCAGCACTGTGTCTAGAATTGCTCACCTGTAAATGCACAACAGGTAGAAGCTCCTCATTCAGGTGTACCTGCGCCAAGAACATCATGGGATGTTCCCTTGGATGCAGTTGTGTTATGTCATGCTTAAACAGAAACAACTTACCTACCTCTCCAGAAGAGACGGACTCTGACGGTGACTATTGATGACATTATTTCACATTTTATTTTTGATACTTCATAATACTACAAGTATTCCCATTTTTGTTTCTTCACTCAAATTATAACTAGTGAAATGCTCAGACAAAAGTGCAGTATATCTACAATTTTGAGTGAAAATATGTCCATTTTAATTTAAATCTAAATTTGGGTATGGGCTGAAGTCGCGAGAGATATTAAATTACAATATTTCCTTTTTTTCATTGTTGGGGGTCAATTTACCACAGGAGTCAGTGAATAATGTACATCATTGAAAAGATAATTTAAAAAAGCTTTCATATGATATATTACATGACCATGTTGAAGAACTATATAAGATCTTGAGTTTGAAAACAGGTCAAATTTGCGGCCATCTTGAAATTCAAGATGGCCACCATAAATGCTCCAGAAAAACTTAAAACATCATTTTTCTTTATGAGTTTACTATTTTGGTGTTTTTAAGCATTGTTGCAATTATCCCACTCATCAACTACAGCAACATCATCTACCACCATATCTCAGTAAGCAATTTTCGTCAAAATTGGATTTTGGGGGGTGGGATAACATTGTATACAATATCTCAACCCCTATGTAATATATTTTCATTTTGTTTTTTGTATAGGATAGTACAATGGTTAAGGCAGATTTTAATACCCAGTTATAGTGGTTTTATTGTCACAATTCAATGGAATTAGTGTTTTACCTTCTCACAAGATTTGAAAATGAAGTAAAAAAACATGAGTTTTACCAATGTTTCCACTGAGAATTAGAATAACAGTTAAATGAAACAAAATGTTTGCCAAATTCAGATAACCGAACATATTACCTGTAATCAAAGACATAATTTGGATAGTTTAATGACTTAATAAAAATGTTACAGCCAATTTTGTCAAATTATGCATTTTTCCTTCAATTTATGCAATTTTGACCCCCTGAAAAATCCTGCACACACTTGCAAGCTTACTACCCATTGAAAATTGTGTACAGATACCTCCTTTATGCAATAGAAAAGGTTTAAGGTATAAAGGAAAATGTGGGAACGAAAATCTTGTTTTTCAACCCTGATCGTGTATTGTAGCCCAATATGACAGTCGTTCGTCTAAGTTACAGTAGGTGAGTGGCGATCACCTTAGCGCTACGATCATGTTGTGGAATTCTAAAGGTGTTGCTTGAATTCTAAAGGTGAATCGACATGCACAGACATGAACGTGATGTAGGTATATGCCTACGTGATGTATTTCGTGTCTCCATGCAAACATGGTGCCACGCGTGACTACAAACAGTCGTTTATCCATAGGATTATTATTTATACGGAGGAGTTGGCACTCGTGTATGTTTACATGTGTACTGTCACACGTGTCTTCAAACAGACGTGGTGTACTTCGTGTCTTCAAACACACATGCTGTAGATCTACTACGTGTCTCCATGCAAACGTCATGTACTTCGTGTTGCCATGCAAACGTGGTGTCACGCGTGACTACAAACACACGTTACTAGAAGTATAGATTGATAGACATGTGTGACGTTGTCATTTGTTCATCCACGCCGAGGAGTCGGCACTCGTGTATTTTTACATGTGTACTGTCATTCGTGTCTCCATGCAAACGTAGTGTCACGCGTGTCTCCATGCAAACGTGATGTCATGCGTGTCTTCAAACACACGTTTATCCATATGATTATTTATGGGGAGCATGGGTGGCCCAGTCGTCTAAGGTGCCGCGATTCGCTGTGCAGAGTTGCGTCCCTTGGGCACGCCAGAAACCTATGATTGTTGGTTCGAATCCCGGTTCGCCCCGATTCGCCCCGATTCTGTTTCTAGGTTTGTCAGCACCATACCCGTGCTCGTGGGTTTCACCGAAGTGGTAAACGTCTGAGACCTGCATCACTTCGGGCTTTCCTCCCACATTAAGCTGACACGCCGCGATATAACTGGAATACTGTTAAAAGCGGCGTTAAACCCAACTCACTCACTCACTCACTATGATTATTTATCATATTTATATTTATAAGGATAGAGAGAGATCGATAGACATACGTGGTGTTTGACTCGTGTCTCCATGCAAACGTGATGCCATACATACATATTTTTTAGGCGTGGTGTAACGCGTAGGCGTGTGCCTCCAAGACAACTGGGGGGAGGGTGTGGGTTCTTTGTTTTGGATTGTTGTTGTTGTTTGTGTTGGCAAAGCAAGCAGGGTGGGTGTCGATTAGTCTGAAGAGCATGTGGACACCATGACGTCTTGCATGTCACTGACGATGTGATAAGACTCTATCCTAGGATGACCTAGGATGACTGACACAAGGATTGGCTGCCACTGCTGGTGCCACTGGTTTTGGTGTGGGTGCTGTTGATGAGGGTGCTGTGGTGGCTGCCACTGGTTTTGGTGTGGGTGCTGCTACATCTGAGGTGTCCATCGGTGATGGTGACAGTGGTGGTGGTGGTGACTGTGCTGAGGTTACTCCTGTTACTCGGCGACTAGTGCTGCTGTTGCTGCTTCTACTGCTGCGGGTGTGGCGGCTGTGGCTGTTACTGCCACCCAGGATAGTGCTGAGGCGAATTTTTCTGTTGCTGCTGCTTCTCGGGGTGTCCCCTTCAATGCCCTCACACCTGCCGCACATTGCCCCATCTGTAGTGCATTGATGAATACTTTTAGTGAGGGTGTTGTTGCTGCGTCTGCAGCTTCTTCTGCCTGTGTGGTGGCTGCTTCTGCTGCTGCTACGGGTGTTGTTGTTTGGTGTTGTCTGCGATGAGTACTGCTGCAGCAATGGTGCATGTGAGGTTACTGTTTCAAAGAGTGCTACTTCTATTGCTGCAGGTGTTGCTGCGGCGGCTGCTAGTATCGCTGTCCATAGTGCTGAGTCGAGTTGTTGTGCTGCTTTCACTGCTTCTGAGGGTGTTGTTGTTAGTATGGGTGCTGCTTCTGCCGCTGCTGACGCTGCGATGAGTGCTGAGAGGAGTACGTCTGTTCCTTTTAACGTTCCCTCTTCTACCACTGCGGTGAGTGTTGCGACGTGTGGTGCTGCTGCTTTTTTTGCTGCTTTGAGTATGGATGCTGTGAGTGCTGCTGCTTCAGGTGTTGGGATTGACTTTTCCACGTAGAGTTCCATGCTGGGGATGCAGATGCCATACCCCGGAGGCAGAAATGTGTCCACGACACTCTTTAACTTCTCATGCATGCAGTCATGGGAAGCTTTGTACAAGGCACTTGTTCTCATCATCTCCTAATTTAGAACTAGCCGCTCCCCCAGGATGTCCGCACGACGGAAATGCTCGCCATTGAGAACGTCCTCGTACTTGTCCCCCTTCTCCTTCTTCTTCCGTTTGATGGTGATGCGGTAGTAGCCATTGTTGTCATACGGTAGTAGTAACCGGAACTTGATGGTGTTGTTGCTTGGACGGTTCAGTGAAAAGTGATGGCCAGGGAACGTTGGTCGTATTTAAAGGCACTGACACTCTGCTTCCTGATTGGTGGAAAATCCGACCTTCTCATTGGCTGGTTTCTGTCCCACACGCCACCCCCCAGTGTGGTACGTCCTTAGTGTTTCTTTTCCAAAGGGTCAGGCTTGTAGCATGGGCGAGAAAGCACAACCTCGTTTCGACCCATCAGAGGCCAGCACAGGCTGAGCGCGGCCTCTGATGGGTCCAAAACCCAAGTCTCTGATTGGTCAGATGTTGATCCGGGTTGTTGTTTTTTTCTGTAGGTGTCCATGTCGATTCCTAGACCAATACAATCTCCCTTCTGGCCTGACATCTGTTGATAGAACGGATCGAGTCGACATGTCAAATAAAGACGGCAGTTCAATGGGAACGCGGTCCGGTGGTACTGTGTCCAAGTAGTCTGGGTTGATGGTTAAACGATACATATGGTTAGCAGTTCTTAACGGCCTGGAGCGTGTCGTGTCTTTCCTCTCAAAACGATAGGGTGTACTCTGCTTGTCCGTCATGATGGCGATGAGTGCCTGATGAACGTCAGCCCTTCCTTTATATAGACAAACAAGAAGATCTATTTATAGAAGGTCGCTGATTGGTCGAAATCTGACCATTCAGAAGTTAGCACCGACCAATCAGAAGACAGCACCCAAGCCGAGTTGTGCTTTCTCTCCTGTGGAAAATGTATTTATTCCTATGAAAAAAACAACAACACAAGGGTCGGACCAATTTGGATAACGGAGACTCAGTCCAGGCATCGAAACGGATCCATCGGCGTGTCGCGTTTTGGACCCATCAAAACAGGGGCCCTTTCAATCCACTCTAAAAGTTGAAAAAATGAATTGTGTTGTCTTTTTAGGATGGGGAAATCAGCATGCTCACCCCAGGGAGAAAAACAGGATAAAAAATGGTTACCCATCAGAAGCTTGGGTTGTCGTCCAATCAGGAAACAGGGTGACAGTGCCTTAAATAGGATAGACACTCTCTGGTCATCACTTTTCCTATGGAAAAGAAACACAAGGGTCGGGGCAGTTTTGAAAACCTGGGTGAAAGTCAGGCGCCGGAACGGACCAATCAGCGCACAGTGTGATGGACCAATCAAAACAGGGACCTTTTCGATCGCTCCCTGCATTCCTACATGTCTGTAGCCGCCTCCGTGGTCTTGCCCGTGTGCGGAATACGCATCAGTCGGAAAGCGCACGTTAAATCTCCAAAGTAAGTAAGTGGTCTTGTGGTAGAGCGTCCGCCCGGAGAGCGGAAGGTCCGGGGTTCGATCCCCGGCCGCGTCATACCAAAAGACGTTAAAAGATGGTACTTGTTGTTACCCTGTCTGGCACTCGACATAAAGGGGCTAAAACAAGGACTGGTCGGCTCGGAGTCAGTATACTGTGTCTGAATGGGGTATCCATGTTAGATTGCGGCATGGTATCTCAGTGAGCTAGCACTATAAATCGGCATCAGTCCGGACTAGTACAAGCAGCCACACACACACGTGCATTCACGTCGCTATATAAGTGCAATAATCTTGGACGCGACGTTAAACCCAATTTCACCTCACCTCACCTCCTACATGTCTGTGCATGTCTATTCACCTTTAGAATTCAGACGTCCGTTCCACACCATGATCGTAGCGCTGAGGTGATCGCCACTCACCTACTGTTACTTAAAGCCCCACCCTGACTATAAATAGCCCGCAAGGTGGCGGTGTTTCAGTTTCGAACAATGACTGACAATGTAAACACAACCGAGTGTCGGGAGACGTTTTTTGAAAACCATAAGGGAACCAGATCACCATTGACCGTCAAACTTCGTATCAACTTGAATGACAAACCATGGATACAACAAATGGCTCCATATCAAGATATAAGTCAATAGATTTTCTGTAGTTTTATCATAAAAAATCTTATCGATCGTGTTTGGCGTCTGCATCAATCACAGTGGGCGGAGCTTGTTTACGGTTGCGCTATAAATAGCAAAGCACATGGTCATGTGTACATGTGACACATTCAATGCATTTGTGGTCAAAGTGAATCGTGTTGCATATTTTTTCGGCAGAACAGCAGCAGAACATCAGTTTCGGTTAATGTAACAGTAACGATATTTAAATACGAAATTGACTACGCGATTCTTTGAGTTCAATCCGAAAATTACAGATATTTGTTTAGTTTTGGTCATTTGCATTCAACAGTTAGATTTGTGCCACACAATAATCAGTTTATATTTATAAAACGTAAATTATTACAGAGATTGTTCAACTAATGTTTAGGAAGGGTCCTAATTTGAAGCACCAGAAGTTGCGCCAATATTTCTCAGCTTGACTACAATAGATGAATATGTCACGTGTATCAACATAACAATGCACATAAGCAACTGGTAAATAAGTAACGAAATATACTTGATGTTTTGACCTAGGCCTACTGAAGGCGTATCCAGATAATATTGTACTTACGATAAACGAAAACTCCAATACACATATTCCAAGACAACTTTAATTATGAATTTCCTTTTCTTTCACAGAATTTTCACACACAAAACTGAGTTTGATCATTAGATCCACACTTGTCCCATGTATTTTTTGTTCGGGGTATTTGGATACACTTCGCGCACAAGTTTTAAAATATAATCTGGGATCCCTTTCCCGTTTTGTCCACACCAATCCTTCATCTGCTGCAACGTTTATTTCCGTTTCTTCAAGTCCAAGTATCTACGATCTCTCCAAACACTCCGTTTATTTAGCTCAGTCCAGAAGCAATGTGTTCGAATCGACGAATTTCTGCAACATGGTGGCCGCACCATTCCCTAACTGCGATTGCCTGTGCCGTGTCACGCATGGTTGACAAAAGAAATGTGAACATACATATTCGGCTTCATCTGGTTCCACAATGAAATCTAGCTGTGACACTGATTCACTAATCCCAAGAATCGGCACTGAATTTATCAAAGTTTCTGTTGCACTTGCAAGGGCGGGAAGAGAGGCGCCATCTTGTCGATTCGAGTTGTGAATCGGAATGATGTCATCTTGAATTGGAACTTTCTCCACGATAAAGTCACCAATGTCATAATCGAAATTACCTAAGGCTCCCTGATTATCTCGAACAATTCTTCGTCAAATTAGGCTTCACATGAAAATGTTTTGTTGCTCATATTGAAAACAAGCGAAATTGCAAAGTTCTTGACAGTTGTAAGCAGCAACTCGATGCGCTCATGGGGCTTAGTTGCTAGGAGATCGCGTGGTCAGAAAGGCGAAAATAAAAAGTTTTAGAAAGTAATAAAAGAAATGCCCAGAGCAATCCAAAAGTACCATGTACAGGATATTTAAAAAAAATAATATTCACGAAAACAAATCTTTTCTAAAAATGCAAAATAATTTATTAATTTATCCCAAGGTCGTAACCCTGATCACGTGGTGGGTATTAGGAAGGAATCTTTGCGATGACGCCGTGAATGAGGCCGTGTGTATTACATTGTTGAAATCAGCTGCCCAGGAATGTTGAGGCACTGACATTATGACAGATGTTCGTCATGGATGGAGAGAAAAATGTATCTGAGAGAAACATTGTTGCTTTGAGCTTCGAGACAAAACATGTGTTAATGCCGAAGTAGCCAGCGACCTGAATGTAAGCTTGATGAAAGTAATGTTGAAACCCATTTTCACGCACATGACAGAATTAATGTGAACAAATATTATGTTTCTTCATTTACACTGCTCATATGCATCACGACAAACGTATTTCGTTCTAGTCCAGAGATCTAGAACTATAATTTGTGTGTTGGATAAATCGTGGAGATTCCACGGTATCATTTTATGAAGATGTGAAGACGACATGGCAGGTAGGTTTTGAAACCAAAGACGTACGCGTTTGTTGAAAAGTCTTGGAATCGTTTGGTAGATATTTATATTACAATTAAAACTTACGTCCTTGTTGTCAAATGACCCACGTGGGTGGGTGTTTACATGACGTCACCCGTTTACGCATTAACCAATGAAATGTATGTGTTATCATGACGTCATATTGACCTGTCAAATCACTTGTATAAGCTCCGCCCACTAGAGAGCGGTAGTTACTACCGCAGATGGGGCTTTAAACGAACGATTGTCCTTGTGCTACAATATGATCGCCTTGTGGAACAAAACCTTGCACTTCAAAGTTTACAATCACGTCATCATAGTCGATGACGTCATTTGTGGAATGTTGTTGCAAGATCTTTCGCCGATGTGGTGTCAACCTAGCAACAAAGTGGCTGGGTTATCGACTGTGTATGATAACTTTTATAAGCTCGTCTCAGTGATCTATCATCTCCACACGCCATCGAAAACCACCCTGCTTGCTTTGCCAACACAAACAACAACAATCCAAAACAAAGAACCCACACCCTCCCCACCAGTCCTCTTGGAGGCACACGCCTACGCGTGACACCACGCCTCAAAAATATGTATGTATGGTTGTATGTATGGTTGTGTACATGAGTGGCATCACGTTTGCATGGAGACACGAGTCAAACACCACGTATGTCTATCGATCTCTCTCTATCCTTATAAATATAAATATGATAAATAATCATATGGATAAACGTGTGTTTGAAGACACGCATGACATCACGTTTGCATGGAGACACGCGTGACACTACGTTTGCATGGAGACTACATACCCGATGATGTCATTTGTGGTATGTTGTTGCAAGATCCTTCGCCGATATGACGTCAACCTAGCAACAAAGTGGCAGGGTCATCGACTTTGTATGATAACTTTTATAAGCTCGTCTCAGTGATCTATCATCTCCACATGCCATCGCCACACCAGTCAGTGTCCTGTCAGGAAACAGGTGGCAGGCCAACCCTCAAACCCAAACAAAGAACCCACTTCCTCCTCCTCCTCCTCCTCCTTCCTCCTCCGCCGCCGCCTCCCTCCCCCTTCCCCTCAGCCGCCGCCGCTACCACCTCTGCTTTTTTCTTTTTTTTAAAAAAAAGAAAAAGAAAAAAACTGTACATCCAGGATTTTACACGCGCTTCTTTCAATTTTTGATCTTTTCATATTGTACGGGCGCTTCTTTGGGTTCCCCCTCCTCCCCGGAAACGGATGTGCCGCCCTCTTGGAGGTGCGCAGGCCTCCCGGAAACGGATGTTCCTCCCTCTTAGAGGCGCGCGCCACCGGGAACGAAGTGCCGCCCTCTTTGAGGCGTGCGCATGACCCACAATGCCCTGCGCACACCGAAACCGGAAGTGACGTCATCCGGTCACGTGACCAAACCGACCAATCAGAAGCCAGGAGCGGTCCTGTACCGGGGCACACAACTACTAATACGTATCAGAACCACAGAGGGAGCGAGTCCTACAATTAAAAAAACGTGGTCTTTGTGGCATAAGTAAAATATTACCAAGCTACGAAGAACTGTGAAGCAGATTTCTAAAATTCTGAAAATGTGCAAGTCTCTTCACACATTCCTATCTGTAAATATGTATGTAAATATCTTGGATCAGTCTTTTTTGCTAGTTCATGCACTGTGGTGTAGGTTAAAATACTTTGTTATGTATTGTTTTAAATGTGTAGAAACTGTTATGTACATATCTGAATCAATTTCCACAAGACAACGGTATAAGATAATCCCTGGGTTTCATAAATCAACAGTTGTTGTTTTCTGTTTATTGGGATGAAGCAAATATGTTGGGTTTTTTGTTTTTTTTTAAAGTGACTTCACAGTACTCGTTATCTTTGACAGAAGAATGGTTAATGAAGTTCGGAATCAGTGATGTGGTGTCAGTAGAGACGCATTACATGCAACACTTTACTGCTACAGTGAATAATTGGATCACCTTTAGAATACAGTACCACAACTTCTCGTGAGGGCGATCTCTGCCAAACAACAATTAAGTTTTTGTGAGAATCCGACGCTAACTCGCGACCGACTGAGCAGCGTCCATACTGTGAAACTGAGTGCAAATTTACCTTGTCATGCCAGCGACTTTACCGGACTGAACGAAAAGGGTCGAATAAAATGTTTTATTACGGAATATAAGATAGCTTCGCGATAAATCGCAAAGAACATTGAAGAACGAAGTGTGGTTTATTTCGCGATAAAACATATTGGAGCACCTTTGGAATATACAGTACCACAACTTCTCGTGAGGAGTCAAAACTCAAAATATTCAAAACTCTCAACATCGCTGGGCGTATTCAATGACATTGCGCGTAGAGATGGTAGATCACTGGGAGGAGCTTATGCACACTCGATGACCCCTGTCGTTACAGGGCATTGTTTCGCCGGTGAGACTGGCAACAAAATACTACAAATTGCGTAATAGGGTATTTAAAATTGTGTCGTGTTTAAAAAGTTTGTTGCAAGCCACAAATCGTTTAGAGAAAGCAATCGCTCATCCCGGGGTCTGCAACGGTTCGAAGCGCTTGCGCACTCTTCCAAAATGGTGGCACAACTATCGATTGGTTGCCTTGACGTAATAAAGAACGTTATACAAGAGGCTCGAAGACGAGCTGATGAAATTTATGATTACTTTGAAGATGTGGAGCAGACTGAGGATGATGGGGTGTTAGCTGCCTTTGTTCATTTCCTCGTTAATCCAGTCAAGAATTTCTTGTTCCGCTGAAAATGTCATCTGCCATTTTGGTTAGAGAACGAAGCGACCTCCGCCAGCGATTGTTTCGCTTGCAGGCGGCTGAAAGTTAGCGCACTGTACGGCGAATCGCTGTACATCGCTTGCAAGCAATTGGCGCACCCCTAAAGGTAGGCCAACATATTATATCATGACGTCATTTCTGGAGATTCGAACATGCGCTCGCAACTTCGTGAAGTCAAATATTAGACGACGATATTTTTGAGAGGGGAGTGTCTAATGTTTGTTTGTTGTTTAACACCGCACTCAGCAATATTCCAAGTGAGTTGTTCCCCGTAGATGTAGGTGGGCAACGCAGATAAACGCAATGGCCGATTGGCGAATGATCGCATCCAAAAACGGGAGAGATATGACAATCGTTTTGGGGAGAAAAGGTACAGGTAATCGACGTGAGGATTGTGAGAATATGCGGGAAATACCCACCTGTGCATAAAGTGGACTTGTCCAACATTGCGGCGGTCGGGTACGTTCTATTGAGGGAGTCATCATTATTTAAATACGTGTATATATTTTTAAAGCTTCTATAGATTCTATCATCCTTAAAGCGGCTGTACATAATGTTGATATCTCATATAAGAAATGAACGACTCGTGGTCGTTTTTTTTATCGTACACGAAAACATTGCCGGGAGTATTAACCACTCAGGGCTGCGCCCCTCACGGTTTATTCTCCTTGCAGTGTTTTATTTAGGGGATAAACATACTTTGTTTTCAATGTAGATCGAGCAAGGTTACCTGTAGATTGAACCATGCTAAATTTAACATTTGAAACCCCATGCTGCGCGTTCGGTTCCACATTCAATTTTTCTGCACGAAATGTTTTGCCACACATCTTTGGGATATTGTAGTAAACACAACTTTGAATTTTGTAACCTATGATTGCAGATATAGTTTACCGACACTGACTGAAAAAAGTACTATTATATGAATATATTAGCTTCCGCGGTGATGCGGCCGTCAAATCGGTTGTTTCAACCAGACAGAGGGGTTTTATTGTGATTTCACAACTTCTGACTGATCAATCAGAATCGAGTAATTTTCAAATTCATGGTAGAATGTACGAAACACAACTCCCACGCGTCGATATATTTCTTAACCACACTTCGTTCTTCATTCTTTTTTTGCGATTTATCGCGTAGCTAAGCCCCAGATATATAAATACTTGATACAAGAATTAATTAGGAGATAAACATACTGTGTTTTCAATGTAGAGCTAGGTTACCTGTAGATTTAACCCCGCTAAATTGAATTTGGAACCGAACGCGCAGCGTGAGGTTTCAAATGTTAAATTTAGCGCGGTTAAATCTACAGGTAACCTAGCTCTACATTGAAAACACAGTATGTTTATCTCCATTCTACCATGACTAAATAAAATGCGAACTCTTTGGTGTTAGCAAATATACTGAGTGAAGCGGCATGGGTTGAGTTCAGTATTTTGAGTGGGTTATCGATCTAAATTACGGAATCATCGAACAAAATATGGTGCCCTATATACTCAAGCAGTTTGTTTACACCGTAATACTTCACTCTAACATATGACAGGCATTGAAAGCATATAAGCACGGCAGCTTGGTAAGCTGACATGAGGTGGGCATCCCTAAAGAAAACAAAGCAAGCTTTGCAAGGCTTTCGCTCTACATCGCATGTCACCATTATGACGTCATATCGCTCATTGTGACGCGAAAAGATGACGTCACAGTCGTATATAGAAAAGCACCAAAATTCCAAGCTCTCTGTGTCTCCAAAACGTAAATACATTCCCTGTGTAGATTTCTATCGTGTTTTCTGCACGAAATGTATTGCCACACATCCTTTGAATATTGTAGTAACCGCGTCTGTGCATTTTGTAACCTGTAATTGCAGATATAATTATTTAAATATGCCTACCGACACTGACTGAAAATAGTACTATTCTATGAATATTAGCTTCCGCGATGATGCGGCCGTCAAACCAGCTGTTTCAATCAGAGGGGGTTTATTGTGATTTATTAGCCTCTGTTTAACCAATCAGAATCGAGTAAATTCCAAATTCATGGTAGAATACACTATAAAACGGAAAAGCCAGAGAATATATCCAGTATCGATTATCCGCCGAAACAGATTCCATTGAGCGTAAAAGGCAAAATAGCAGTGAAAATTATATGAATGGACAAATATATCATTAACTTTAACAAGGACTGCGACATATTAGCTGGTGTTCATCCAGCTCACACAAAGCAATCAGTAATGTAAATAAAGTGTGATGTGATAAAAGTTCATACCCATACGATTAATTGTAACCCCACCGCACACAAACACACCACCGTTTTTTGTAGGCGTGGCCATGTGGATGTAGTCATACAGAACTTTTAAGAAGATATTATATCATGAATGACTCTTTTGACCGGATTTGTCAAATAACAGTTCGGTTTGTCCATCTTCTGTGCTAAACCCTACTTTTGCTTCTCTCAACTTGGGTGCTGTTGAACAAGTCCGGCGTTTTCTGAAAATAGGCCCTGTAGCGTATGAATCCTCAGGTCATGTCTATCCAATCAGAAACGAGGCCACACAATATTGGCGACTTCTATACAGTCTCAATGGCGGAACATCAAGTGCGGAAATCGATGTGTTACACTGCAGAAATTGTGATAGTTCCGATGGATATGAAATTGTAGAGGTGAGATATTGCTATGTTCTTTTGTATTTGATTTTTAAGCTCATATGCGTTCCACTAAACACACATGGTTACGTAGAATCTTACATTCACATGCTGCCTTGGCAGCCTGTGTGAAAACAACGTCAGTTTGACCGATTAAACAAGACAACTGACTCGCAGTAAATGTACTTATTCGCCATTCGGTCCTCAAAAACCAAGAACATCATCATAATCCAGGTATATATACCATGTTATTCGATCGTTGGTTGTTGTAAAACCGCTGTATTCCGATCAGTACGTCAATCAGTTAACAAGTAGGCTTCATTATGTAGACTATCGAGTAGGTTCACCGTGCTACCTGCCACAGGTGAAGTTGCCTGTCGAATGTCCAGGAGACGAATGTAGACGGTACGGTACGTTCCTGAAAGATTTTGCACTACAGCCTTCTTACAATGCCGAGAATATGGGATGCTCACATGTTTCCGTCAATAATCGTGTCTATGGAAGATGTAATAAGGTGAATTTGATGTACAGCAGTGTTGGTTGTCAACAGGCCAGGGAGAAGCTTAGACCAGTTTATCAGGTTGGGGATATACGTGAAAATAAATACCCCAAACAACGCATTGTCTGTACCTTGATCTTATACTTTATACTAAGATAGGTGTGATCTTTGCACTCGGCTAGCATTCAATGGGGGGATGCAGAAATTGTCTACAAAATAATTGATTACCTTGCATTCTTTTGGGGGATGGGTATGCTGTTAACCTGGTGGGCCTATTAAATTAAATTAGCTACCCAGACCTGGCCATTGATTACGTGTTGAAGAAAAATTACCGTTTTTGGTCAATGATCTTTGTCAGCAGGTTATGCTAAGCATAAAACCTTCTCATAACCTACATGTTCTAACATATCATACCATCACATGTTTTCGCTCAATATATTTTCCTGCCCGGGTACCCACCCCGCTATTACCTGACCCTACCCGTGTACACGCTGTAGGTCTCAAGAGATAGCTACAAACTGTCCGATTGGGTAAAGTTTGACCGTAGTCCTGGCAAAATGTATCCAGATACATGTGTAAAACGAACTGGTCATGCATACACTGAAGTTGACTGCATGAAGTTTTATCTTTTTTTTTTACAAACATATAAAAGTCAGAAGGAATGCATGCATAATCAGAAAGAAATGGGAACATTAGTGACTTGTAGTGTGACCATTGAGTTTTAGATAAGTTTTGTCATTAAACAATATATCCTGTGACTAACCATGGGTCCGGGTAGTCATGTGGGTACCCGGGGCCTGCTCAGTACCCACCCGAGTAACCCGTCCCAGCCCTACTGTTCGGGCATTTTGAATTGCTGTTTCTTCTCATATTTAACGAGATGTGACGTCACCGGCGGCTTGTTTTTCAATAAGCACTGTCCCGTTACCACTCCAGTGACAATATGCTCAGAATGAAGCTACAAAACGTAAGTTGTTGACAAAAATTTAGAAATATATCAATTTGAAACAGAGATCACAGAGAAGACAGTGGAGGCATTTCTTACTTTCATACATTGTGTGCATATTTTCATGATTTGTGTTAATGTCATGCAAGTTTTTATTGTGATTTTAGGGCTCCATCAGATAAGGGAAGGCCAATTACCAGCAATATCCACCAGAAAGCATGACAAAGCTTATAAGGCTGTCAGTAGCATGTAAGGGCTCAAAAGTGCAGCAAGACTGTTTTCTGTGCCCAATTTGTCTCTTCACGATCGACTTGGTGGAAAAGTCTCTGTTGAATGAGTGACATCAGGACCCAATGCGTTTCACACACTATATTAAGTACTTGTAGGCCACTGGTGTTTTTGTTCAAACGAAATACAATTTATGCGCAAACAGTATAAAAAATACAACATATGTCTTTGTTTTTAACAAAAGTAGTTTCAACATAATTGCATATTATCGAGGTTGGAGTAATTGTGTTCTTAAAACATATATTGGCATAAACCAAGTACTTTGCTGTATTCATATTGATAATTGGCTCTTGCAGAGCTCCAGATAAGCTTTTGGTGTTGTGGGTATTTTACGCATGCATTTTAAAATCATTGGGTATCAGTAATTCTATCTGGGTATTCAAATTTCTGTTACCCACTCGTTTTTACACATGTGGGTATTTAAGTTAAATATTTAAAAACACTATTCATCTAGTCCCTGCAAACTGGTTTCATGTGGGTTAGAGAGCTTTATAGGACTCAATAATACCACGATACTTCCACAAAGTGTGATGGCAAATGATCATGATGTAACTGTCATCGTGGAGTTTGGCAAGGTTGACGGAATGCCCGTTTATAATTTCAAAATAAGTTGCTGATTCGCTAATCGAATACGCAGGGTTACTTCACCATATTTTGATGATACGCACAAGTTTTATTTTTGTAGCGTATCTGTAATGTTCGTTGCGTATTTGATACGCTTTGATTTTATTTTCCTGCATATTTCTGCATTTCTGATGCGTAATTTATGCAGATACGCAGCCTATCTGTAGCTCTGCTCTTGTGATGACATTAATGTATTAAACTTCAGAATATTTGGGAAGATTTAAAATTAAGATTCTGTGTAATTTTGCCTGAGATGGCTATAAGCTGGACAAATTAACAAAACGTGATATTCATTTTTTATTTGGTTTAAGTTTCAGACCAACATTTTCTTAATTCACGAGGAATATAAAAATTGTGAGAACTAAGCTGAAAACTAGTCAACAATGTGGTACTTAATTTATTTACAGTTTCCACCCTTGCAAAACTTGGCTAGAATTTCTGGGCTCAGTCGTAGCGCCACCAGTGGCTAGAGTGAGTTATGTCCCTTTTATGACCCTCCTATTGACCATTCAGATTCCACCTGTCATGTCACATGCATTAGTTTCAAACAAAATGGCGGTGACCAGTCAAGACGATCGATGATCAAGATCTATATTGTAATAAAATGGGTCTTACCTCACGAGGTGCATCAAATCACGTGAGCACCTTGAATAAGAACATAAACATGATAAATAGATTTGGAAAATATCTGTCAAGGCCCAGTTAATGGTACACATCCTTTGCAAATCCTGCAGGCTACTGAAATCTGCACATGGAAATCCATGTTGTTTATCAACCGGATGTTGATTTTGTTACGTTTTAAACAGTGCATAACAAGCCATTTTGGGACCTTAGATAAATTGCTATGCCAAACCTGAAACAAATTGTCTTTTAGGGGCTGCCACGGCATATTTTATAAATACGTTTTTATTACCACATGTTTGAAAATGCCAGACATCACGGTATCCCAATCTAAAAAAACAGTTTCAAGTTTTGTTATGCATTTTACATGGCCTTATTCATTGTACAACTGCAACATATTATGACATTTCAGACCTCAATGTTAATTTTTTTCAAGGGAGCCACTTATCTCCTAACGTTTTTTTAAGGAGCCAAGAAAATATGTAGGGAGCCAACTTAACAATTGGTAAATGAAATGAAGTCCTACTTCACCAAACACAACACAAATGTTTGCTGGAACAAAATCAATTCTGTTGATTAACTCCAATCAACTTGTGGTACTACTCTGTATTTCAGATAAAGTAGTTATGAAGCTAAGTTCTGTTTGTGTCTAGGTGAACACTGGAGTGGTAACTAATTAAGTTTCCAATGTCTTTCTGGAATATTTTAATTAATCAGCAGTGAACTACAAGTCCATGGTTTAAATCAAATGTCTTTTCAGAGTGAGACACCTTGCAGTGATTAACCTAGGATTTTATTAAGGTGGGTCTTAGCACCCATAGACCTTGACAATTGTTGGCCTTGTCATGAATATTGTGGGACATGTAGTAAATGAGATGCCTGTAAACATGTGAAGCATGCAAGACCCGTGAAGATCCGGGGTAGAATAGGTCTTCAGCAACCCATGCTTGCCGTAAAAGGCGACTATGCTTGTCGTAAAAAGGCGACTAATGGGATCGGGTGGTCAGGCTCCCTGGCGGTTGATGCATGTCATCGATCCCAATTGCAAAGATCAATGCTCATGATGTCAATCACTGGATTGTCTGGTCCAGGCTCGATTATTTATAGACCACTGTCATATAGCTGGAATGATGCTGAGTGCGGCATTAAACAACAAACAAAAAACATAAAAATGCTGCATTTTAAAAAATTAAGACAGCTTCTGTTCGTCTTTCAGTGTAGGTTACTGCAGTAAAAATTCAAAGTTCAAGCAGTACTTTTATATAATTGGGCATAGCTTCCGCACACCCGGCTACCCGCCAGGTCTGGGAGCAATGCTGCCCCAGACACAAGGTCAACTGTCACAGGCTTGGAATGTGTGACCCTTTCCCCATTTTGAAGCATATGGAAAAAAAACCATACCTTTCACTTACCTTTTGTTGAAAGCACGAGACACGATTGTAACGTAAGACATTAATGCAACATATGTCAACGTGTCATGAACAATAATGAAGGCATGATGCTAAAAACACTAATTGAAAACAGGACAATGATATTTGTATTGGTCATGATAAAGGCCATTGATCAGTCGGGAAAAAAAAATTACAAACCAAACGTAATTGCAATCTAGAAGTTCACTTAAAACTCAGATCAGTAGTATCAACAGTGGAACCAGTTTAAGTAAGATGACGTAGCACATTCAGAACCAGCAGATAAAATATTGTTAGTTTTCTTGGCCAAACCATTGTTTCTGCTGCGGGTCATGGTCGCACTTACTATCCGATTTTGAGGTGGGCAATCTGATTCATTATCTGAATCTCCGTGGCGCTTTGTTGTTGTGTTTAGCTGGGCATATTTTGAAAAAAACTCTCCCTGTTTTGGCTGATCAGTTGCCATGTTTTGTTAACCTTTCCAGGAGATCTGTACAGCGCATGCACGAACATAAACTTCCTACAGCTTTGTGAAACTTAACATTACTTAGCGCAGTGATCAAGAACCTATAGGCGCTTCCTTCGATCAATGCATGGTTCTCGTTTTACCGGACGAGTTTGTTTACCGATACCAGTATATAGATTGTTCGCACTGTTGCTTCAACCACATCAATTTTATTACCAAAACTGTTTTAGTCACAAAACTCGAGTGAAGACCAGGTGACCATGTTGGCGACTGACATGAAAATACTGATCATACAATAATAGATCACTATAGCAACCAAATTAGTTGGAACATTGAAGGCTGCATTTTTTGGGTAAACAAGATTTCTGAATATTGATAACAGACAGCCAACATTTGACACATTTCAAAACAGCAAGTGACTGAATAGAATATCTATCCACTCACCTAAAACCCCCTTATTTGAACTTGATAACTTTACATTTAAAGACCCTTACAGACATACAATTGAACTGTTTCTAATGGTTCTCTGTCACTGCGTTATCCCAAAGGAGGAACGAAGTTGGAGATGATTTCTGCTTTTGGTTGTATGGTTATTCTTGTGCAGAAATTACAGCTTTAGGTACCAACCCTGCTGTCTGCTTAGGAAAGTAACCAAAAGATGACAAGCCTCTTTCACTGCAGTGGTTTTACAGTTTTCTTAAGAGATGACTAGAAGTTGAGTGCAGAAACCCTGCTGTTAGCATGGTTAGGAGGTCATGAGAGCAAAAGCCACATTGGATGAGACACCTATTTTGACAATTTGGAGAAGATCCTGATAAGGTCTCTTACTGTCCAACAAATGACCATGCTGATACTCTGCTATGTACCAGATGTTCAACAGTCAAAACACAAATGTTCAGGATGTCTAATCAGGTCAGCTAGGCAAAGTCTACACACAGGATTATTTGGCTATTATCTGCTGATACAATAATTATAAATAATAATAATAATAATAATAATAATGAGGCGTCTCATGGGATCGAGGGGTCAGGCTTGCTGACTTGGTTGAGCTCAATTGCCTGGATCGGTGCTCATGATGTCAATCACTGGATTGTCCGGTCCAGACTCGATTATTTTACAGACAGCCATCATATAGCTGTAATATTGCTGAGTGTGGCGTTAAACAACAAACATAATGTTATATGTTGAACATTACAGGTATTATTCCTTGGAATAAATGTCGTCCTATTCCCACTTATGTCCAAGGTATGGTTTCTCCTCTATGTTGGGGTATAAATGTCTTGTCTTCATCAAGACACGGAGTGGCATTATCTCTCTTCTATATCGCTCATCATTTCAGCTTCACTTGGTGGCTATAACCCACCAGTATAGTTTTTCCATACATGAAAGTTGATTTTTATCTCAAATTTCGAGTTATGAAAGATGTGTATTTATGTTAATGTATATTTATCACAACAGAAGTGGTAAAAGTAGCAAATCTAATGTGGAAGTAGTAATTTGCAATGACAAATGTATATTATCGGAATCCTAGATGCCATTTTGAGACACTGTTCATTATAATGCTGACAATTAATTGATTAATTCTAGATGAAACTTGCAAACTCTTGTCTGGAGCCTTTGGATGATTTGGGATTTTGAAAAATGTGAACTGCATTATTTCTTTTCACTGAACTGAAGGTATCCAATGGCAATGAACTCCATTTCCAATTGCACAAGACTCTTTGCGTGTTTTCAATCTTTAAAAAATATATACTCATGTTGTTATTTCTGAATGAACAATGGTTGTTATTGCTCCTTTACCGTTTGGAATTATAGTTGAACATTATTAAAACACAATAATTAAACACTTACCATTATATTTGAGGAAATTAATTCTCCTATCTTGTGCTTGTGTTGCGTCGTCTGCTTGAAGAGTGCACCCCCGTATGGAAAAGCTGTAAATTTTGAGTAGCGTCCCTTGTAAAATTTCAGCACTGTTACCCAACTTTGTAACAACACTGGACCAATGTAAGAAATCCGACTTTGCCATATTGAATTGTAATTTTTGCACAACATTTTTCTTTTTTCTATTTCTGTTTAATTCAGTGTATTTTCTGTTTTTACATCATATTGTAAAAGTTGCAAATAAATTGCACAATATTTGAACATACATGTATGATAGTTTCAGATACAATTTCTTCTAAAAATTACATCAAAAATTCTTTGAGTTATACCATTTGGTATTTTTACCCCTGGCAAAAAATGGTGGGGGATGACGCCTCTTCTATCCGTAATCATTTCGTTTCCACAGCATAACTTGAAAACCGTTCAGTATTTTTCAACAAAAATTGGCATATATCAACAGATCCTGAAGTGGTGCCTTTTGCTATTTGCAGATTTTTGGCCTTATATTTTTCTTGATTTCCATGAAAACAATTTTGACTTAGTCTTGGGGGGTTGGGGTGGCTGCGTTTCTGGAGCAGAACTTGAAAACTGTGAAAGACTTTTCGTCCAAACCTGGTACATGTATTAACCAAGGCCTGAAGCAAGTAACTTAGCTGAAACAGGAGATAGGTGTCGTTGTCGGAGCAGAACTAAAAAATATTGAACAGTTTTCATCCAAAGGTACCTGTATTAATCAAGGGCTGAAGTGGTGCCTTTTGCTATTTAGGAATTTTTGAAAAATGAATTTTTTTCTTGTTTCCATGGCAACAAGTATGACTTTGATTCTGTTCATAGTTAATGTTCGTCTGGACCACATCTCTAAAACTAATAGCTATTCTTTCATGACACTTTGTACGCACAAAGACCAGGTTATCAACTGGTGCCTTTTGCTATTTAGGGATTTTTAGAATTTATGTTGTTTCTGTTTCCATGACAAGTTTGATTTTGACTCTGTTCACAGTGGTATGTACCTGACATAGAAATACAGAGTTCCGCATCCCAGTTCCATGGTATTGTTTTGATAGCTCAATAACTGCTCTTGCATACGGAGAGACAGATTATTTAGTAAATCTCTCATCAAGTTGGACTTAAAGTAAAAGTCAGATGTTTTTGTTTTTTTCGAATATGTGGGGTCTGGGTGGATTTGTCATCTTCTGATGATTCTTGTTATAACCAGATAGTGTATTAACAGATTGAATACTTCAGTACGGATTTGTTATGTTGAAGCAATCCCTTTGTAATTTGAACTGGCCAATGGGATAGTGGTTAAATAGATGTCCATCTTGATGTTTGTCATTGTATCCTGCCAGATGGGGATGTTGCTCATGATATCACTCACTGGTTTGTCTGATCTAAATTTATCATTTACAGGCTGCTGTCATGCTGTGTTGCTCTTATTTTGTTGAGTGTGGTGTTAAACTAACATTAAATGCATAAATTTTAACTGTGTTTTTTTATGTTTGCAGGACAAGTGACATGATGAGGCTACGGGGGGCCTTGACCTTCCTCGAACTGCTTGTGCTGCAGCTGCAATGGCAAACTGTGGTTTTGTCCTCACACTCATATTTCCACTCAACTTTAACACAGGAAAACTTCCACTTTTCACAAAAAACTTACAATGGAACTATATCAGAAAATGCCCATGGGAAAACATATATCCTATCCCCAGTGCGGATGGGAATTTCTCGAATGAACACATCTGTAGATGTAGAATATGAAATAGACAGAGGTGACAAGACTAAAATATTCAGGGCAGAACCTGTATGTATTTTAGATTTCTGTTTCTTACGGATAAGAACGAGAACTGATGCGTCTGGCGAATTAAATCGTGAACATAAGGATAAGTTTGACCTGCGAGTGAAAGCAGAGGGGAAGTATCCAACTGGAGGGCAAGTACTTGCTGCATTCACTTATGTTCGAGTGACTGTTTTAGATGAGAATGATCTGAGCCCTCTATTTTATCCTGAAGAATATAGTGTTTCCATACCTGAGAACACAACCATTCACAAGGGTATTGTAAGGGTCACTGCCTCAGATGCCGATATAGGAGTTAATGGAGAAATCTACTATTCATTTATGAAATCTACTAAAGTTTTTGCAATTCACCCAGCAACAGGTGTGGTATCCCTTACCAGACCTTTGAACTACAGTGTTGAGAAAGTTCATAAGCTAAGAGTCCTTGCTAATGACAGAGGGCTTAAAACAAAAGGGTCACAAAGAAGTAGCACAGCACTGGTAACAATATCTGTGGAGCCAGTTAACTACCATTCTCCTTCTATCATTGTTCATAGACTCCCAACAGTTGCTGAACATGGAAATATTGGCACAGTTTATGCGATTCTAACTATCACTGATGATGATATTGGAAAAAATGGAAACATTAACCGTGTTGCAATTACATCTGGAAATGTTGGAAATAGTTTTGCTATAGTGGAGTCAACAGAAGCAGAAGGCATATATAACATTAGAGTTGCTGCAAACCTTGACAGGGAACAAACACCATATGGATATAATCTTACAGTGATTGCTACTGACAAGGGTTCACCTATACTGACAACAACAGTTCTGGTACATGTTGCTATACAAGACACAAATGACAATGGACCAGAGTTTGATCAGAAGGAATTCAACGTGTCAGTGTCTGAAGTTGTACCTGTAAATACACCAGTTGCAACAGTGAAGGCTGGGGATCAAGATCTAGGACGGAATGGCGAAGTTGAGTACAGCATTGTTAGTGGAAATGAAGAAAAACTATTTAAAATTGACATGGAATCGGGACTCATCACAACCAGATCATTTCTAGATGCTGAAAAGCTCCTGATGGTCAGACTACAGATCCAAGCTGAAGATAAAGCAAACTCTGGAGCAAGAAAGATAGGCAAAACTTTTGTCAATATTGATATTACAGATTTTAATGACAATGCTCCAGTTTTTGATGAAACTAAGCTTTCTGGCAGTGTGAAAGAAAATGCAGCTAATGGGACAACTATTTTGCAAGTATCTGCAACTGATGCAGATGCCAATGGGAATGGAAGAGTCAGTTATTCTATTGTGAATTTTCTCTTGGTTCCTTTTGAAATCGATCATTTCACTGGTACCATCACAACTACTAGACCTCTTGATTATGAAGTCATGCAAAAGATGTACCATGTAGTTGTAAGGGCATCAGACTGGGGTACTCCACACAGACAAGAAACTGAGGCTGTTGTTGCAATAAAACTAGAAAATGTAAATGATAATGAACCAGGGTTTGAGAAAGTTGACTGTAGTGGCTACCTGTCACGTGAAGCTAAGGAAAGTACAGAAATTGTAATTCTTCCAGCTATAGATTTTGATGAGGGGGATATCATTAATTACAGAATTGTTGATGGTAATGAAAATAACTGCTTCAATATAGAACCATCCACTGGAGGTATCTCTCTGGGTAATTGTGATCTAGCAGGCATAGGTAGTGACACCATAAGGCTTCTTGTAGATGCTACAGATGGTGCACACTCCTCTGTTCCAGCTGTCATCAATCTCTCATTGGTCAACAGCAAGGCTGGTGTGCAAGAAAAGGCAATTGTGAACTGTAAGGATACGAATGTAACAGATCGCCTTCAGAACATGATAAGAGCATCCAATGAAAACAACAAGGGAAGTAGTAAAATTGAATTCAATCACGATCTGTCCAATAGATATGCCCCAGAGTTTAGTTCTTCAGTGCCCAAGTACTTTGAAGTGTCTGAAGGTACTCCTCCAGGGACATCTGTCCTAAACATGACAGCAACAGATCGAGACAGCAATTCTTGGTACAATAGTAAAATCCTCTACGTCATCTCCGCAGGGAATTCTGATGGTGCATTCCAAGTTGATACCTTTACTGGGAGCCTGATTGTCATGTCTAAACTAGACAGAGAACATCAGAGTGAATACAGCCTCCAAGTGAATGCTCAAGATATGGGCAAACCATCACATACGGCTCAACAGCTTCTAAGAATTGTAATCTCAGATGAAAATGACAACTCGCCCATGTTTGAACATGATGAATATGGAAAAAGTGTGTATGAATATGTTGCTGTAAACTCTACTGTGTTGCAGGTGTATGCAACAGATAATGACAAAGACCTTAATGCTCGGATTAAGTACTCTCTTTTGACTGACACTGAGGATTTCTATATTGAACCATCCAATGGCATGATCAAAGTGAGAAGGCAGCTAGATAGAGAGAGGCTAGCAGTATATCAATTAAGTGTCATGGCAAAGGATTCAGGTTTGCATACAACTCTATCAACAACAACACAGGTTACAATCACACTTCAAGATGTTAATGACAATGAACCAAAATTTGTTCCTTCAAGTTACAGTGTAAAAGTTCGAGAAGATTTACCAGTTGGTACTGTTGTCATGATCCTTACAGCAAATGATCCTGATGTTGGAGAGAATGGACTTGTAACATATGAGCTTGTTGATGGTATGGATAACAAATTTGAAATAGATGAATTGAGTGGTACCATTCGTTTGCTCAAGAAATTAGATTACGAGACAAAGCAAGTATATAACATAACAGCAAAGGCAGTTGATTGTGGCACGCCAACTCTTGTATCAACTTGTTTTATGAATGTAGAAGTGGTAGATGTTGATGAAAATCTCAGTGCCCCACGTTTTGACACCTTTGTGGCTCAGGACTATGTATATGAAAACAAGCCCATTGGAACATTTGTTGCACATGTCAGTGCAATGGACGACATTGGACCTTTTGAGAAAAGGGGTCAGATGGTGTACTCTATTCGTGATGGATCAGGCTTGGGTCGGTTTTCCATTGACACCAATGGTAAGTATATAATATGGTAACATTATTTATACCTTTTTGTCAATAGAGTTTATTTCTTGGCCTGGTAATCACTTATCTGTTGGTGTCCTCCATCATCTACTCCCTGGAAACCAATGAAACTAAAACTTGCCTTGTTCCCAATTTATATATCTGATATATATATATTTAAGTATTTCTGTTCATCCGTGACTTCTGGAAGAATTATTCACAATTATTTATCGTTCAGCAGACAAGTTAACCACGATCAGCTGTTCATTCCTTGGCAAGTGAGAGACGACAATCAGATTTATAGGTCTTCCACAATGTGTGTTTAGATCGTAATTGAGTATTTTCAAAGTGAAAAGACATGAAATAATGACTGTATCAATTGTTGATAAAGTCTGCTGGCCAAAAAAATCTTATTTACATTAAAAATGATATTTTATAAACACTGTGCTTTCCTCAATTTCATTGTTTATTTCCATTTATAGTGTGTTCCATATCAAAGGAAATATTGTTGAACTTTCATTTAATAAGTAGGTGACAGTTCATCATATTTTCATTAAAATATTGTTCCATGTTCACTCTTTTGTTTTATAAGCAACAATTCAGTTATTTATTTCCTGCAGAAGGTGGCGTGTTTGCCATGTGCAGCAGCCAGAAAATGTTGATGAATATATGGAAGTTAAAAATACTGTTGACAGTTAGGATGTTTGTGAGATACATTTGTATGATTAACTCATATTTTTCAAACTTTTTTGATATGTCTGGAAGCTAACATATTGTGGCACTCTAACATGTTCTAAGTACACCTTGCTGTTTTGCCACTAGAAATAGTTCAAAATTTCTAATTCTCGCACAGTAATCCTGCTTGCAGAAGGGTACGTTCGTGAAAAATCGTTCACCAGCTGTCTTATCTAAAGGTGAAAATCATATAAAATGATTGTTTGTGGTCTGAAAATTGTATAATAATAATGAGGAAGGGCCGGCCATAGGTATATATCCATTTAGTTAGTGTTTTGTTGTCATTCCAAAATCCTTTCAGTATTTTGATTTTTAGCATGTTTAGAACATTAATTGTTCGTGCTTTGATTTTCAAACCCCGCCACGCGATTGTCATGTTATCGAAAATTGCCTGCGTTTTTAAACTTTATGGGTGATTGTTTGGACTTAAGGTAGGATTTAAGAGGCTGTGCAGAAGATTAAGTTTTGATAACTTTGTTGTTGTAGATCATGTAGATCACTGTTTTAAACGGAATAGGATTTTATCATGGGGGTATTTTCATTTATCATGTTTATGGAAGAAATTTATTAGTTTTATGTCAAATTTTTCTGAAGTCATCTTGATTAAAAAAATGCGAATTTAATACTCAGTTAAATTTTTTAACTTATCCTGCATTACTCCTTAATGCATTTACCATGTTTACTGCTGTTGTCTGACAGAGATGAACTGTGTGAGCTGATGAAGAAAAGTTGTTCCAATCAGTAGAGGCAGCAACCTCGCACAGTCGGCACGTGACCTGGATGTCATGATGTCACATCAAAACACATAACTGCTTTGTCACCTCCAAAGACGGACGTACTTTGTATCCCTTGGAAATTAAAGCTTATTGTTTCTATACTTTGTGTGTTTCTGCATTCATTGTATGCTGCTATATTGTTACCTGTTTATGGTCTGTTACCTTTGGGGTCTTCCCATTCGTAATTTGTAATGTTTATCTCTCGTTAGTGGCTCTAGTCACAGTAATTAACGGGCGTGTGTTGTTCCCGCCATTTTGTTTTTTCCCCTGACATTTTTGCGATACACCACGCGGCACATACTTTTGTGTTTTGCGTTTTGAATTCTTTATTTAGCTTGGGTAATACACTAAATTTATTTATTTTGTGTTGGCATGTTAAAAGCTTTGCTTTTTCACTACCTTTTAACGTAATTGTTTGCTCTCATTAACTTAAATAAAATACAAAGTTTTTGAGTTACATTATGCTTCCCGTTGAGCTTCTGCCACATGGTTATGTTTTTGCTTAAATTCCAAACTTTATGCCCTGCCGCACTTGCTGCCGCGGGAACAAATTTGGTCGGGCCCCGCGAGTAGGAGTATCCAGGACATGCCTCACTCAACGTGGTTGTCGACCGGCTTTCCGTCTCCTCTGCCATCTACGAGGACAGCAGCGCTGCTGCTCGAAAGCCACCAGCGCCGCAGGCGCTTCAGAGAAGTGATGCCACCGGCCCCCTCGGCGCCATTGGTTTTCCATAGCTCTGTCAGCGCCACCAGTATCTCGGCTCCGGCCCCTCGGGCACCTGCTATCCTCTACTCTACTTGGGCATCAGAGGCGCCGCCAGGGCCCTTGGCTTCCACAGCTTCAACGTTGACACCCTGATATGGCTTACAACGTGGAGACTACTTCCCTCATATCGACCGACGCCCTTTTGCGGTCTTCTACGCCTCCCTTGCCGTCACCTTTATTGACAACATTGTCCCCTCCTCTGGTGACGCCCGTTACGGGACTGGCTTTCAGTCTCCTCTGCCATCTATGTTGACAGCTCCAGTGCTTCAGGCACCTGCTATACCTCTACTCTATCAGAGGCGCCATTGGCTTCCACAGCTCCGACACACCCTGGCCATTCCTTCTATTACTGACTCTTGATCTAGATCGTCAAGATGGAGCGGCAAGGTGAAAGTTTGTCTTTTCACTCGTCACCGCTCTTGTAGCTGCTCACGGACTATCGTTCAGATTCCTTGCAGGAATCTTTTCAAACCAGTAGACATTTGGCCTGATTCAACTTGCTGACTGGTTGTCTGGACATGGTTTTGTTTTGCGATGTTCTCCTTAACCCCCGCGTTTAAAGCGCCATGCTTTAAGTGAGATGACCTGCAGGTTCACTCCATGGACAATCCGCTTGGCTTCTGGTGGATAACGTCTTTATAAGAACTTGCATGGTCAGGCTCGCTGACTTGGATGATGCATGTCATCGATCCCAACTGCGTAGATTGATGCTCATGATATTAATCACTGGATTGTCTGGTCCAGACTCGATTATTTACAGACCGCTGTCATATAGCTGGAATATTGCTGAGTGCGGTGTTCAACAACAAACCATCCAAACCAAATCAGAACTTTCAGATGTTCACTGTTCATGCTCTTTTAGCCTGTTTGACCCCTTGTCATAGGCTACCGGGTACCCACTTCTCATTGACTGGTCAGGAGAAGGCGTCTCTCATATCACAGTGTTCATTTTTGCTCTACACCGGCCCCCACCATCTGACGACGACATCCACTGTCTTCTTCGACATCACCGGCACCAACGCTTCTCTACCCTGCCTTCGCGCCAGCATTCCTCAAAGAGGCTCTTCGGCGGTGCTCCCGCGTTTTTTCGCAGAACTCGGATACAATGGGGATTGTCTGTGTGTGGAGATTGCACCTCATTTCCGGGTAGAATGCGGTTTTCTTGGCTACTGCGCAGGGTGCTTTACATGTCACGTGTCAAGTACTCCCGACTGTATCGACCTATCGGGAGCAGTGCAATATGTTTCTACAGATTTGTTTGCAAGCTTACTTGTACGCATTGTGCAACTATTCAACCAGATGCCTGTCGTAGTCCATCCATGTGCAGGGGATGGAAACAGTCGCCCTACGCTACCAAAACGACAGTCCCGTTGCCCCCTCACTATAAGGGCGTCAAGGGATGGAAAAGATCGCCTTACTTCGTACGGTATCATCTTTCAGACTACAACCTTTTTATATCTTCAGCCTTGGCTACCAGATACAGCGTCGTTTTTCTAATTCTTCCCACGACTGTTCCATAGACCCGTTGACTACATACCAAGTATCGTGTTGCCTTTCTTCATTGTCACCTTGATATAACAATGGGAGCGCTTATACTACGCTCATGGGATGAAAACGATCGCATTTCTTTGTGCAGTACGGTGCGATCTTCCAAACCCACAGTTTTCCATATTTCCATAATGTCTTATGGACATTGCTTCGACTTCCAACTAACTGGTTAAGTAGATGCCTCTGCGGTCAATTGTAGAGTGGGTTTATTTCGTTTACATGGGATTTGGTATTGGTTCGCAGGCGAACACACTTTTCCACGTATCATCCTGACTGGACACAATCAGAGACCCCTGTTGTTGATTTTTCAACTTTGCAGTCTTGTAGACAACCTCATCTACCATGGCTTCCAGCTCTTCCACTGCCGCTTCCACTTTGTCAGTGGCTAGTGCTTCTGGGATTGCTCAGGCCCGCCCATGTTGTGACCAGGTGTGATCTGGATATTAACTCCATTGGCACAGCAACAGCCTCAAGATAAAAGGGCTTGTCCTGGCCACCACTTGCTGGCAGTGTTCGATTCCTGACATGGGTACAATGTGTGAAGCCCATTTCTGGTGTCCCCCGCCGTGATATTGCTGGAATATTGCTAAAAGCGGCGTAAAACCATACCCACTCACTCATGGACAACATCACCATCGTGTGGTGTTTGATCTGGAGATCAACTCCATAGGCACAGCAACAGCCTAAAGATAAAAGCGCTTGTCCTGGCCATCACTCGCTGGCAGAGCATTCTAGGTCACGTCCTGTTGATCATATTCATGGACAACATCACCATCGTGTGGTGTTTGAGGAACCAGGGTACTCTCAGCTCTCCATCCCTGCTAAACCAGACCTTCTGCTTCTTCGACTTGGTGGGCAGCCTGGACCTGTAATTTCTCATTTAGCACTTGTAGTCTGGAAGGTAATTTAAGGTACCGACGTTTACTACAATATCTGAAAAACTATCGGACCTACTCCAGTTAAAGTTGGTATGAGATTATTAAACAGTCATACATACCTGGATATTACATTTAAAGACAATCGGTGCATGAATAAAAAACCTGTCTATTTAGCTATCACTATATTTCATCAACAACCAGACCTGTTCGTCATGGGTGGAACGAGCATTCATTGAAACAGCCATCTTCTTAATGCTACCCCTGCGTCACAGGGCCATATGACACAGTTGAACCAATCAACTCAACTCG